ACAAAATTCCCAAACTATTCAATGGCCTCCTTGGGCCAGATGGATATAGCTCAGTGGTAAAGCATATGCCTAGCATATCCAAGGCCAAGTAATCCCAAAGCATATGCATGCATGCACACACACCGCCTTTATAAACTTTCTGTACCTTTTCATCACTATTGGATCCCATATTCCTATGCTGGATACTGTAGGTCTAAAGCATCAGAAGGGGGAAGGGCAGGCCCAAGAGCTGTCCACTGTCTTGTTGAACACTGCTTTTTCTCCCCATTCACACAGCTGCAGACGCACCATCAGCATGGAAACAGGATTCCAAAACGTTCAACTCTGTTCTACCATCCTCAATGTGACCTTCCCCCCTGAAGTCATTGGCCCGCTTTTCTTCTTCCCTCTCCTCTACATGATTTTCCAGCTTGCAGAAGGACTTCTCTTCATTATTATCTTCCGGTGCTATGAGAAAATCAAGCCTCCAAAGGGTGAGTATTGAATCATCTCCCTTAGTACTGCCACTACATTGGACCAACAAGAGGTTCCCAAGAGGGACCGGACACTGAAGTATGCAAGAGACTTTGAAGAGTGAATGTCATTTTCATCAGTAACACTATACTTCTACCTTAACTGAGAAAACCAAGTTTTTCTCAAGGGACTGACAAGAGATCTCTCAGGTGTTAGTTTGGGAAGCTTTTGCATTCTTTAGTGTTCAGCTTTCTGTATAGAGGTCGGAGCCCTAGTATCCTAGTGCCCAGAGAGAAAACTCAGTCCTAACGTGACTAAATCTAAAAGGTGACTCTACTCTAGTCAGTTTCAGAATTCTTAAATACATAACTAGCATTAATTTGTACTAATTACTAGAATTTTCTTTAAATTATTTTAATACTTTTCTTTTAAAATTAATACTTTAAATGTTCAGAGCAAATTCATTATCTGCAGAACATAATTCTCTAAAAGCTCAGAATCCCTCCCTCAAAGTGCTTCTGAGGAATTGAAGAGGCAGCTGTTAAGAGCACTTGCAGGGGCTGGAGAAATGGCTATTGCTCCTCCACAGGACCCTAAAGACAGCTCAGAAGCCAATGTAACCCCAGTCCTAAAGAATGCCCTCTTCTGGCCTCTATGAACACTTCATGCAGTACAAAGATACATGCAGAGAAATACCCACACTCCTGCCCCCCAATCAATCCTTAAAAGGACTTTTGTTTTTATGTGTCAGACCCATTTAGTCAGAGAACTCCAAGGAGTCGATTCTCTTTCCATGTGGACATGAGGGTTCTAACTTGGGTCATTTAGGGTTAGCAGCAAGAACCTTTACCTGCTGAGTCATCTTACCCAGAGTACTCTTTATAAACCATTTTGTTTAATGGTGCTAAGCACAGAATAGCTCCCATGTACCAAGTAAACACTACTTGTGATCTTTTTTTTTTTTTTGTATGTAGCTCAGGCTAGCCTCAAACAAGATTCACCAGCCTCCAAGTGCTCAAACTGAACATCATGTACCATGCCCAGTCATGTCTTTTTAATACCGAAAATCAAGCCCAGGACCTTAGGTATGCTACAAAAGCATTCAACCAGAATCCCCAGTACTCTTGTGTCTTTCAAACAAAAACTCTTCTATTTCCTAACCCAATTGCTTCTACTGCCTATTTCTAAAATCAAGGCTGAGATTCTCTTTTGATCCCAGGAACTGTGATCTGCACCCCAAGACAGACACAAAACTTTAGTGAAATCCACTATATTATACTAGCAAATGCCAATGTCCCCCCCTTGTAACTGTCATCTTGGTTATCAGGAAGCCAAAAAGAAAATCTAAGAGCTGCCCACTCTACAGAACCACTAAATGCTCTATTCAAAAGTAGCCGAGTCTCATCAGGTAACATGTGCAACAGATAGCACAAGAGATGGCACTGAGTCATCAACTAGGTTCCAGGTTTAAAGTTGTAGTTCCAGAAAGACCTGTAATAACCTTAAAGTGATAACTCTGGAATTTCAATCCTCAGGACCTAAAAGAGCCAATGCTGAAAACCCTAGCACCAAAACTGAGAGAAAACTATTTGACCCACTTCTTCTACTGTAGTGGGAGAGCATGGAGGACTCTGACTCTTACCTTCAAAATCCCTCACCACTTCCACATGGGGGAGGGAACACTCAGACTGAGGAAGGGTGTTGGCAGTTTGAAGTCTGATCATTCAAACCTTTCTTCCCGCTTTGCGGGTCCTTCAGAAGTCATTATTACTCAACCTAAACCTACATTCTCTGCTTTGTGTACAGGAGTTGTTGTTACAGGGATGAGCATACCACACAAGGCATCTTACTGTTAGTGCCACCACATTAAGGATCTCAAAGGAAATGCAAATCTTCCTGAAAGGGATGAGATGACAGGTACAAACACAGAGCACACCCGTCTTGCAATTTAACAAGTTTTACGTTTGTCTTAGCTATTTTTTCCCAAGAAAGTTTGTATAGGTCACTATTCTATTGCTGTAAGCTGAGTTTATCAGGGGTTTACCGTTTCAGAGGGTCAGAGTTACATCATGACAGGGAGCATGAGCCCATAGGACCGTTCTCATTCAAGTCTGTTTTACTCTCATTCTCTTTTAACTCTACAGACCAAACAAAAATTACCTACAAGGCTGCTGCAACAGAAGATGCTATTCCAGCAGCTTTGGAAAAAGGTACCCACAACGGGTCTATTCCTCCTACACAACCTAGCCCTTCCCCTAATGGCCTGAATTCTGGTCAGTCAGATGGCAAATTAGAATGTGAAAATTTAGAAGCAGCAAGAAAAGGAACACCAAGTTTGCCGGATTGTTTGTCTAGCACTTCCAGCAAACCTTCATCAGCAGAACCATGAAGCCATGAAGGGCATCTATCCAGGAACTGTCTTCATCCATGCCGGACATTGTTTCAATTTCCTATTTGTTTAAAAGGTAAACAAGAACTAGAGAAAGTGGTTCCTGCCTATAATACCAATGCTCAGGAACTCAAAGTCAACCTTAAGTACATAGCAAAACTGTCCCAAGAAACCAAAACCACTTTTCAGTAGCTATGAACTCTATGAAGGCTGAACGAAACAGCTGCATCTGATAAACACTGATGTCACTATTTCTAAACTTTCCAGTAAGCAGGTGTTTTCTTCATTAAACATCCACAACCTGCTTCATGTTGTAACTCAAAAGGAAATAAACTACAACTTGTAGTTCTAACTCACCAAATGATCTTAATTCTTTCTTTGCTACATGACTTAAGTTCAATTATAATCAATACCAAGTAGACAGAGAGGGACAAAAGCAATTTTAAAAAGGACAAACCTGCCACCCAGTACACTAAAACAAAAGGTACCAGAAACACAAGAAAGCAAGAAAAATTCTTTAAAAAAAACAGGAATAAGCCAACACAAAACTACATTCTATCAGTTTAGTCAGTGACAGCAAACACTCCAAAAACCTTGAGGGAACTGTACAGAAAATGAAATCTAAACATTTTTCACTTTTTACTCAGACAATAAAAATCACAGATGAATAAACTACCCACTGCATACACAGTTAAACATGGTAAACTACTTTTTGTATTTCCCATCACTGACAGTGTGCAACTGAAGCCACATCGGGGCATTTGTTTGGCAGATTTGCAGGATTAACAACAAGCACAAGAATGACTGACCAGGTTCACCTTTGCATGTTTCTTCAAATGACCTGAGGCTTCAAATTATCTTTAGAAATAAGTGAAAACAAAAAACTAGTTCTAAAACATCCTTTTATTAAGTCTATCAAGGCTGTGGTGGCACACTTGAAATCATAGCACTAAGGAGGTGGCATCAGCAGTGGCAGGTGTAGGAGTAAGGCCAGCTTAGTCTATATAATACATAGCAGAAGCCAGACCATCCAGGACCAGACACAGACTCTTGTCTCAAAAGAATCTCACTGTTTTTAACTTCTCAAATCTTAGGTCTTAGTACTCTAAAACTTCAATCTGACAGTTCCCTTAGTATACTAGAGAGGATCCCCATAAAAGCACAGGTGAGATAGCTGGTAAAAAGAGAATGCCAGGTTCTGCCAGTGTTAACAGTTCCCTCAAGTAAACAAATAGACCACTACTCCTACATCTAGCCTGTTAAAGATCAGCTACAGTTCATGAGTGAGAAGATTCACTGGAACCTTCTACTGAGCTCTCCCCAGAACTCCCAAATGCCAGCTCTTCCTAACTCCCACTTTGAGGAAGCAATGAGCCTTTTTATACTTTCTACCCGAAGTGAGCATGCCTGTCTAGTCCTGAAATACAGAATCAGAAATCCTGGATCCTTAATTGGTCCTTTGAAAAGCCCCCCTAGGTTTGCTGTAATAGTTTTGAGGAGCTGGGAGGCCGTGGTGCACGCCTTTAATTCCAGCACTTGGGAGGCAGAGACAGGCAGATTTCTGAGTTCGAGGCCAGACTGGTCTAGAGTGAGTTCCAGAACAGCCAGGGCTATACAGAGAAACCCTGTCTTGAAAAACCAAAAAAAAAAAAGTTGAGGATTACTCAACACCAAGCACTCGGATATTAAGATGTTCCGCTATCCAATACTTACTCAGTCCGCACCTGGCAACATACACGCACACACACCCCTTTATAAAAACCTAAATAAAACATAGCATGTAAAGACCCCTTAAGCTTTCAGTCACTGAGAAATTACACTATGACCATCCCAATTGTGTTACACCTGACAAGAGAACTTGCCCTGGATCTTATGTGTTTACCAAAGCCTGCCCTTTCTGTTTAGGGTAAGTAACCTGACGGCAATTCAAGTCAGGCAGCAACAGGAAAAGTATGGAAGGAATACAAGGGAACTGTCACTCAACTTAGTTGTCAGTTTTCATCCAGACTCCTTCACTAGCTTCAAACAGCAAAAAAATACTTGTATAAGCTCATACCACAGCACTCCAGGGTTCTGTGCTACATGTGTAGTTTTAAACTTAAAATACACAGAATGTGAGGGAACAATACAGGACTTCTTGAGAGAAACAGACCAAAAGCAGTTTTATAATACTTAGTACTTTATTATCAACAAACAGCTGCTTTATCTACAGCTGTTAATGGGTGAGAAGACACCCTTGACCCTAACAAAACTCATATTAAGCCTTTATATACAAGCAAATTTAGAGCTCTTTTAAAGTGTCCAAAACTATTCATTAGTTTAATTGAGTAATTAAACTAATCAAGTCAACATATCTGAACAATGAACTAAAATATTCAAAAGTTTTTCTAGTACAAAAAATTAAATGCTTTAGTTATAAAAGAGCTCTATCAATATACACAAACTATATACTTCAGACAGTCACAAAAGTGTGAGCAGAAGGCTTATCAAAAGACATTTAATACAATTAGTTTTCGACAACCCCTTGGTGGTCCACATCTACAAAGAAATCCAGCCCAACCCCCTCAAATCCCACCCCACAGAAAAGCACATACTTACCAGAATTTTTAGCAAGTATGGTTTGGGAATTTGTTTTGTTTTTTTAAAAAAAGGCCCCCAGGGCAAGTTATTTACAGTTTAATTGCCACTGTCAACTGATCTGGACCTGGACCGGGACCGGGACCTCTGGCGATCCACAGATGCTGGAGATTTAGATCTACTCGAAGAACCACGTTTCTGGCTCTTCTCAGGCACAGGAGACCTACTACCAGAACGGGACTTGCTCCGGCTCCGGCTCCGGCTCCTTGATCGGCTGTAAGACTTGCTCCTTCGTGAACGGGATCGGCTACGGGACCTAGAGGAACTCCTGGTCCGAGATCGTGACCTGCTTCTTGACCTGCTATGAAAAATGGGGAGGAAAGAGAGAGAAAACAAATTAACCTGTATGACAGGGCTCTAAAAGCCAGCAAGCAAAACTTTTAGCTTAAAAATATCAAGGAAAGAGTACCTGTGCCTTTTGCTGCCTTCAATTAATTTGATTTTTCTCCCGTTAATTTCCTTTCCAGAAAGTTTCTCAATAGCATTCTTTAAGTCACCGTAAGAGGCAAACTCAACTACCCTAAAATGGGGGGAAAAATCCCTTTAAAGGTTATATACCCAACAGCCTTGTAGACAGATCAAGATAAGCCTAAGTTTACTCCCTGCTGTTACTACTGTTTTATGTTATTTCTGATATTTACAGCACAGCAAGGTTTTAGGCAGTCAACTCTGTGGGGTGTCCTATGTACAGTAGGGCAGGTGCCTATTAAATACCAGTATTATCAGCAGCCCCTTATAGAACCTCTCCTCCCCAATTGCCAAAATCAAGCACATGCCAATTTTAGATCCTAGTAACACACAACAGAATTCCCGAGGTAATTAGTTAAAGGGCTCACTACTCCAGGGCATACTCACCCTTCATTTAGTTTAGGTCGATGTGCATCCGCAAAGGTTACTTCCCCAGCTTGTCTCATGAAATCTTTGAGATCCTTAACACAAGACAATTACGTTAAGGAGAGAAAGGGAAAAGTGGCACACAAACAACCACATGGTATAAACAAGACTACTGGAAGAGAAGTTGTTAGATAAAGTACAAACATGGCATATACCACACTTGTATTCTATCAGAATTCAAAAATTATGCCAGGGCACGAAATAAGCAAATAGCATATTGCTCTTAAGCAAAATGCTAGAGGAAATTCCAATTTTTAATGTTATAGTATTAGTCTAACTGAGCTCAGTACAAAAAGGGGGAAAAAACAAACAAAAAAACAAAACAAACAACAAAAAAAACCAAAAAGGAACAGTACATCCTTTAAAGACTAGTTTTATATTCTAAAAAAGGAAAACAAAAATAAATAAATAAAACAACATTTACAAAGACACCAGTTATTTTGTGCCCCATATGTCATTAAAAAAATTTACTTTACCTTTATTAACATTTCCCTAGGCTAGTCAAGCAGCAAACCATTAAGCGGTCGGAGAAACCTTCATGACATAGGCCCGACTGGCTCTTCGCCACCCACTTGAAGGATACTACCCAATCGATGGAAGCCTTTAATCGCACAGCCCTCCCTATTAGCAGACTACTGGCGATGCAGACATGTTTTACTCTTGTGCAGTTACCAAGGACCACTTTACTGCGATCAGGATTCCAACGACCAACTAATTTCGTATCTTTCAACTCTTTCGACCAGGACCTCTTATTCGGAAGCGTTACAGGAAGACAGCTCTCAACTTAGGGATCAGATCACGTTATCAACGTTCTGGGATCGCTGCAACCCGGCACTTCAAGTAAGTGCCCCGATTACGTCTAGACCGGCAAACACAGATCTAGAGGTGGCCAACTGATCACTGTAGGAGCTGACTGGCAAAGTCAACCAGGCCCAACCAAGAGTGACCAAGACAACGATTAGGATAACCCACAGGCACTCCTCGTCATAAGGCCAACGACACAGATAGGCTGGCAAATAAAGGGTTTAATATTTGGTTAAAATTGATTTTAAAAAACATGAAAAAAAATAACCTCAAAACATTTACATTTGATCACTAATATTAAAATCTGAAACATCCCCCAGTTACATTTAACTAAAGTTTAAAATTATAGTTCAATTAAATCCATTAATTTAAGATAAAACATTTAATAAGATATATATTAATAAAACATTAACTACCCATTAACATTTTTAAATGCCACATTAAAATATCTTAAAACTGTATTTCAACAAACCTGCCAGCTGACTCTTGAGGATAAATTCTCAACTATAAGTCGATTTTCTGTTCTTACAGGTGGGGCATTTCTGAAAGAAAAAAATAGGCATTCAATGTCAGATGCTATGTCACAATGTCAAATGCTATGTGACAAGTTTAAGCCAAGATAGTGATCCAGTGACTTCCATCAAGTTTCTGGGTTCTCAGCATGTGGACTAACTATAACTAGACTTACCTAGTCTGAGAACCACTTAATGCTAATGGATCTTATCCTAAACCCTAACAGCCAAACCACATACATACCGTCTGTCATTTCGAGGTCTGCGACTGCTAAAACGGTCGGAGTATCGTCCTCTACCTCTTCCTCCTCGAGACCGAGCCCGAGCGTGTTCAATAGTAACCCTATGAAGAGGAGAAAAACGCATTAACACACATTTACACTACACACAGGAGCACTTACAGTCTGCTCTACTTCCTGGGAGAACTAGTTACAAACCAATCATGCTTACCTTTCACTGCACAGTTCCTTCCCATCAAGTTCATAAACAGCATCATCCGCGTCCCGTGGGTCCTCAAACTCCTACAGCACAGTAACAAGACACTTAGCAGAGCTTTGGGACATGCATTCTACAGCATATTAACATCCTGGAAAAGTGTTTGGATAAGATATACCTTAAAGTCAGATACAAATAAGCCTAATCTAGGGGTGGCTGGGAACCAACTCCAGCCAGCAGTTACTTTAAATTCTTAATAGAATCCACTGCCTCTTGGCCACTTCTAACATCTTTCTCAAGAAAAAAAAACAAAACCCTTCACATGGACTCAGTGAGTTTAAAAATAATTGCGCACCACCAAAGTTCTACCCACTTTGGTTTTGTTTTGATTGTTTGAGACAGGGTTTCTTTATGGATTGGACTGTCTCTGCCTCCCGAGCCACCCCCCCCCCCAGTAAAGGCCTGTGCTGCCGCCACCAGGTTACCTACTTCTCAACAGATAATTCACTCAGCTTGAAGTACTTACCACAAAACCAAAACCTCTTTTCAAATCAATATCTCTGATTCGTCCGTAACCCTTGAAGAATCTTTCCACATCTTTCTCCCTCGCTGCTGGATTTAGTCTCCCAATGAATACTCGACAGCCACTCATGATGCCCGGCTAGTGTTTCCTGTTAGGCAGTAATTCAATCAAGACCATATCAATGAATGGCAGAGGGGGAAACGTTCTGTCAGGCAGTCAAGCAGAGCCTAAAAACGCCTACCAACTCTAACAAGGTCGCCATGTACGCTTTAAGTAGCTCAGGACCCCCCCCCATTCAAGTTTCAAGTTAAAACTCAACTCCCAAAACGACCCCTCCCTGGTTCCACACCGCAGCCAACCGCAACGCCCACTTGCCACTTTTCTAGACTGCGCAGCCGCGCTCGTCCCCGGCTCCCGGGCCCCCTCCCATCTGCCGCAGTTAAAGAATGGCCGAGAAATGCAGGCGAAGCCGACCCCGCCCTCCGCAAGGCCTTGTCCAATAGCAGCCGGCCGCGCCCGCGTCGCGCCCTCCCCGCGCGTCACAAGCCGGAATCTCGCGACGCCACAACCGAGCATGCGCAGTTGGCGACGGGCGCGTTCGCAGCACAAAATGGCGACGGCCGAGTCTGCGGCGGGGGAGGAGCAAGCGAGCCGAGCCCCGTCCTCAGCAGCGGGCAAGCCGGGCAAGGAGCGCCGCGCCTGCAGGCCAACAGGGGACCCTAGCGGCTCCGGGCAAGGCCGGTTTCCGGCGTACAGGCATACGAGGCCGGATAAGAACCACCTAAGGGTGGCAGCGAGGGGCGCGCTGCTTCCCTTTACAAACGCCCTCCCCCACGCCCGCCCTCCGCCTTGTTTCCCCTCAAGCAACACCAAAAGGGAGACGTGCCCCAGCGCCCACCTCAATCAACTGCGCTCTCTTAGACGCCGTCCTCCGCAAAGAGCGAAGCCCCGGCCACTCGCGACCCGAGCGGCCATGAAGAAGCCTCGATCCGAGAAGCCTTGCCCTCAAAGCGAGCCACTCACCTACCGGACAGGGTCTTTGACGGCTGAGACCTGGAGAGGTCCGGAGTCTGCGACGGAGCTGTCTGCCTCCCTACACACACGAACTCAACTCCTCTACGTCTCTCCACAACTGACGCACTTAGCAGCTCGGACGTTGCACAAAATGGAAGGAGCGTCCTTGCGTCACTTCCAGGGCGGCTCCAGAAGCTCGGGTGCCGCCCAGTTGGAGCCAAGAACGGAAGTTTCCGCGGAGCCGGAAGTCCTAGTGGGGCGGGGTTTACTTACGGCGACTCCCTTGCGAAAGCAGTGGGTGGTCTGTGGGTAGTCGGGGGTGTTGGTTAGAAACGTTCCCTCGGTCCGCACATGACACACCTTGACACATCTTTAAATACGAAAAGATGTATCCAAAGCCTTTCTTAGCTCTCTCGAAGATCAGCAAGTAAAAGAAGCCCAGGCTTTTCAGAAACATCTGTTTCTTTTAAAAATTCATTTGCATAGTCTGTCTCACTAAGCAGCCCTGGCTAGCCTTGAACTCAGAGATCCACCTGTCCCCTCCTTCAGTGTGATAGAATTACTGGCCTGATCACCAAGGTCCGGTTTTTTTTTTTGGTCCTCTTCTGCAAATTGTTCTTACCAATGTGCTTCATGACCAGAGGGTTCTATGAGACGCAAGTGAATTCATCTTTAAGCGCTGTAACTTTCGTTTTGATCAGCCTAAGGAACTGAATTGTTTTCGGCTAATGGATTTTACGTGATGAAATTGAGACTGTGTAAAAACGTTCCCGTATCAAATCCCTAGGGCCAATCTTGGGCTCAGCTAGCTGGAAAAGAATTCAAGTTGTTTCTAAATCCAACTGGCCATTGTCCATTCCTTTCTGTCCAGGTCTCAGCACAGTTAAGGTGGACGGTGGTGGCATCTGCCTTTAATCCCAGCACCCCGGAGCCCGAGGCAGGAGTATCTCTGTGAGTTCCAGGCCAGCCTGATCTACAAAGTCCATGACAGCTAGGGAAACCTTGTCTCGAAGAACCAAAAAAAAAAGTCGGTCGACAGTTATTCAGAAATAGAATGTGTGCTTCCAGCATGAATGTAATACACAGCCCTCCACATCCATAACTCTATCCAGCCTTCCCCGATGAGGTGGGGAGGTCTAGAATCGTTGAGAATAAAGACTGGTGAAAAAACTACTTCTCTTTAATGTTTTTATCTGTAACCCAAAGCATCATCTCGATTTTAAGATGTACCTAGAAGAGGGTCACACATTTTCAGCTAGGGTCACAAAGACATGAATTGGTAGCTCAGGAAGAAGAGCGACCCTGGCTCTAACCTTATTCACATGGGATAAGCTTGTCTATTCAGTTAACTATGCAAATAAAAACAGCATTGATGGGTCCATTAAAAAAACACATAGTTATCTTTGGTGTGAGGAATTAAAGATGGATTTAAAACAATATATATTTGCTAGGGAAAAATTTTAAAAGCTCACTAGAGAGAGCTTAGGAGTTTAAGAGGGATGCTGAATTAGGACAAGAGTTTGAATCCCAGCGCCTACTTAAGTGTCAAGTCAACATGGCAGCCCACCTGAAACCCCAGCATGCTGTCCCAGGAACAAGCTGGCTAGCTGAACTAGCAGAATCAATGGCTTCTGAGATCAAGTGAAAGACCTAGTATATAAGATGGAGAGTGACTGAGAAAGATAAAAAACCTTAACCTCTGTCCCCCCACTCACACACTTGATTCCACACACGTAAGAAGACATACATGTCCACACTGTACACTAAAAAAACTTTTGTATCTCAGAAATGCCTAGGGGAAGAGGGGATAACTATTTATATACCTGCTTTTGGATAAATATTTTTCCCCATGTCATTCTTTAGGTTCGAGAGCTTCCTTTCCAAAGACATTCAAACAAATAACATATATTTAGTAGAGGAAAAGAGATGCAGAGATCACAGATTAAGAGAACATTTATTGTCCATCACAGACCTGCCAGCTGCCTTTCTCTCCCCAAAAATTAGGTCACGCCCTCCCTGAAGCTGTAAGGACTGGATAAGAAAGCTTATGGTAGCCAAGCATGATGGATAGGCATGTTTTTCATCCCAGTGTTTGAGAGCAGAGGGAGGAGGTGGCCTGCTCTATGTATGAGTCAGCCAGAGCTACACAGTGAAACCCTGTCTAGGAGAGAGAGAGAAAGAGAGAGAGAGAGAGAGAGAGAGAGAGAGAGAGAGAGAGAGAGAGAGAGA